TATAATCAGTCACAAGAACGTCGAATCTGAATCACTTGAAAAAAACACGGGGGTGCTTAACTTTTTTCTAGGTGTATATACTTGTACACCATTCAATGTATTCAGAGCTTCAAGTGGATGAAAAGACGAAATGGGATGATTTGTGACATCTTTCTAGCTGAGTATTATATTTCTTGTTTTTTATATATATATATATATATATATATATATATTATTTCTTTAATATTATGAAACTAAAATGCAAAAATAAGAAACTTACTAGGTTGGATTAGGTAAGATAAGAAAAAAATAATTTAAATAATAACAAATTTTCACAAGGTATATTCACAAGAACCTTGTGCATTACATAATTCAATACGATAACATGAGCTGCACATTCACTGAGTGAGTTACGACATGTATGGCAGGATTATTAGTTAAACAGGGTTCAAAGGGAATTAAAACAATAAACATAAGTATAAGCATATGTATACTGTTACGAGTTATAGTTTGGAAACTCTGATGGTTACTAACTCAGTCACACCAAATCAATCCTATAGTTAGAAGGTTCATTCACTCCATCCGTATGCTACTTTGTCTCATTCCTGCATCACTCTTACATGGCATTTTAAGTTAAAAAAATATAGTTTCTCTCCCCAGTCCTTTGCTGCCATAAATATTTATTGCATCATTTATTGATCCCTTCCCTTCTGACAAGCTTACAGTTTACTTAAAGGTAGCAGGATGGTTTTGGGCTCTTCTAAAAAAAAAGTGGGATGGCATCTGCCTCACTTCAAGCATTGGACGTATTGGTGTGGAAGTACACTATAACCCAAGAAACTAAGCACAATTAATTACCTTATAGAACAAATAAAGGTTAAACTTTGTATTTCATTTCAAAATATTATAAGAACTGGAGAATGTATTATTTTATCTAAAAATCAGCCTTAAACTTAGCTAAGGATTTTCTATGGAATGACAGTAACGTTGTTAAGATAAATATTTTGTATAATGTTGAATATGAACCATATGTTATCACCATACTTTTACATTAGAAATTATAATCCTAATACAGTGATGAAACTTTTCCCCAATTTGTATTTAGTAAATATGCACAGAAGACATTTTTCTCAATCATCCAACGAAAAGCAATTAAGTGATGTTGTTTACAAATTCTTTTCTATACAAATATCTTGTGGCTCAGAAAGATTTTAGTTGAATAAAAAAAAAAATTAGTTATACTTAGTGTCTCTGTCTGAAAACAGCATGAACATGAAACACAAGACAGGTATCACTAAAAGTTAGTGTTAAATATGAGCCTCCAATCCTGTAATTATTAACATGAATAAAACATTTATGCAATTTAACAAAACTTTGGCAAAATTCCACAAAAGAACTACCAAATCCTTTCTGGACCTATGAACAACTTTCAAGTGTCAAGAGCACAACTAAATATGAAACTTAAAATTTAATTATATTTTAGAATTGATATTTTGTCATTGATGTAGGATTTATGCACAGTAATTCACAAAGAAAAATTAAAAACCGAATTTTAAATTACATTTAATGCACCTTTTCATTTATTATTTTTAGAATGTTTCCTACCAACCCCAATGCATAGGTTTATATTTGCTAAGAAATTAAAATTCCTTTCTTTTTGTGTCTCAAACAATTTTCCTTCACTTTGATTTTCTTAGTAAGCCTCAGTATTCACTCTTTTACAACATTATACCATATAATAAGAGCAACTTATAATTGTAGCTCAGCTATGAAAATAGCTATAAAGTTCGAATACCATCAGTTAAAGCAATTATAAACTATTTACCTAAATGTAGAGTGAAGTAAGGAGCGCAAGAAATAATCTGTGGTTTTTTGTCAGAAAATGAGACCTAGATCAAGCAGAAAGAAATGGAATTTAACGAGAAGAGTTAGGAACAAACTACCAATCTGAGTTTTTCTTAGTTTTTTAGATGTTAATTTTATTTTTGAATATGTTTTTGTTAAGTAATATTTGTTTGAAATCTACACCTATTTTCTTTCTCGAGAAAACATTAGACAAGCTTTATTAGCCTATTAGAAAATATTATAGACAGCAGAAAAATATTACATGAACTGAGATCATTATATTACTGTTAAGTTTATCATATTCAAACAATGTTCATAAATAAAATAACTAATGGTTTATTGTACATTTGATATAAATTTATCTTGATGAAGGATACTGTTAGAAAAAATAGTTTTTAGCTCATCTGACCTGACAGCATTTTTAACTGTGGCATAGGAACTCACAGAATGGCTTAGTTTTTGTTTTTTTTCAAGTACAAACATTTAGTTCATAGCGCCATCATAGCTTAGCCGATTTGAGATCTAATTACAGTTTTGGACTTAGGAGGTCAAACCCTTTTGTCTCATAAATTAATTTACTCTATCTGTGCCTAAAAGAAATTCAATTGCAGGGTAGTCTAGTAAAAATCCTGATGAGTAATAAAACTGAATCAGGTATGCACGTATCCCATGCTTGGTATTGCTGATACACAAAAATATAACTAATAAAAAGAAAAAAAAAGATCTCATAGATTAATTTACTATAATCCTGCCTAAAAGAATTTCAAGTACCATGGTTATAGAGGATTCCCTCTTGTTAATGTTCAATTCATATAAATTTTCATGTAATTTAATTTCATACCAATAGCAGAATGTGCAGTAGTGGAATGAGAAGCAATGAAAGTGAGAGAGATATGTATATGCATGCGTATATGTATCTACACACATACATCCCACATCATGCAGTAATGTCTATTCAATTGTGAAATATAAATATCACTATATACTTGCCATATCTAAACTTATCACTGGAATGGTCCAATTTGTTGATGAATCTATCATACATACTCCTAGTGACAGCAAGTCTGTTTGGTACATTATTACTAGCAAACAGTTATTGGCATTATAACTTAGGAATTTAATCAATAAAAACCTAAAAGTGATTGTTTTAGGACACAGTCAGCTTATTTTCATGTTTCTCTTCTCAAAATTTCCCCACAACTTGGTACACATGCTTAAATAATCCTTTTTACATCTGTGTATATATATAAAACATATATGTATACTTCTCAAACTGTAAGTTTAAGTTTATAGCTATCAACTTTATCATCAGATAAATTGTTATAGATAAGGTGTATAAACATTTAACTTCATTAACCCTCTCTGCCCAAGCATCATTTACTGCACCTCATGAGGTTTTAGTGACTTATATGCAAAATTTTATTAAACTACTTTTTATGTTATACCAATTAGTATAGCATAAAATCATAGCTAATAATACATATTTTAAAAGTATACATGTTTTAAGTTCTTAATTTTATAAGGCAATATTAAAATAAAATCCTGAATTTCCCCCACGTGTGGCACATTTTATTTATGCATCTTCTCTTCTCTATTAAATTTATCCCCCACCCCTCCAGTAAGTACAAATTTAACATAATCACTATAAAACCATCATTGCTCAGAAAAAGCATAATTTTTATAGCCTTCAATTTTGTTTAGTTACAGAGCCATAAAATAGAAAATTGGACCCCACTTGCCACACCCACCTGTCACATCCTCTGTATCATGATTTGTTAATAGTTCTCACTTACATTTAATTCTATATTATCTATAACCAATAGAAAGCAAAGGTTTTTATCTATCAAATGACGTATTATATTACATTTTGTTCTGAATGGAGAATTTTCAGTTTCTCTCTTAGTACAAGCTTCATTCCCACAGGAAAGATAACGACTAGCTTGGATGAATTTGTAACAGCTCTTGTCGCACAGTCAGAAAGGCAGAAAAATTGTGTTAGTTATAGGAAATTGTCTGCTTTTTGCATGTTATTATTCTATGTTCTTTAGTGCATTATTTAATTAAATGAAAATAATTTAGTGTGTTACTAACATTTATATAAAAAAGTAGGGTTAAGTGTCATTAACAGTCGACAGCAAGAAAAACATGTTTTTCGTGTTTATTCTTTATTTATTATTATAAAAGTAACTAAACTGTAAAAATATGGATCTTTAAAGTTAGTTAAGGTTAGATTAGGTAAGATGAATAACAATAATAAAAATTTTGATGTGGCACACATACACGAGCAGCTAGTGGGTTATGTAATTGGACAATGTAATGTGAGCTCCATGTTCCAGAAGTGATTTACAACTTATAATGGCAAAAATAGTAGTTAGATATGGTCCAAAGGGTAATAAAACAATAAAATTTAATTATAAATACTTGTATACTGTTACGAGTTTGAAGCTACTTACAATAAACAAATGTAGTTTCATGTTACAATTTGAAGTCATTCTAGAAAGAAAAAACGAGTAATTTAGGTTTATTTCGATTTTTTTTTTGTGTAGTTACAAGGTTGGTCAATTTGACCAACATTGTATAGCGTTAGAGTCAAGAAAATAATAGATAAAATACAAAATTTTACTGAAAACAA